TACCTAGCAATCCAAAACAGTCCAGTGGAGCCTGAGCAGTGGGTGCTGCCTTCGGACACACTTCCGGTGATGTCAGGGTGTGTGGCATATGCAAATGAGCTATGCTAATGAGTTGTGCTAATGAGCCCCTGCACCTCTGTTTCTACGAAATGACCCGATAATACCCATGGCCCTCGCTTTTAAAATAGGCTGACAGAGCAACCTGCCCAAGGATGCCTCGATGACGCGGCAAACTGCACAGAGGCACAGAACACAAAGAAAACGGTTCACCTTTCTCCGAAGTAGCAAAACTGGAACACTGGCCCTTCTCGGTCAGCTGGTACCGAAGGTTCATCACGTTGCTTGCAGCGACGAAGCCTTTCCTGGGAAGGGAGGAGAACAGACCAGCTCTAAGGGGATCTCACTGGCCACAGCCAAAACCTGGCAGTTGGGCGGTGTGCGCTCCATGCACTGTGAAAACCCGAATTCCGGGCCCACAATGCTCAAAATACATGTGCTTATTTTGCATGGCTATCCCCTGAAACGAACCGTACAGCACACAGCAAAAAACAGCAAGGAACAACCAAAAACAACTGTGAGCTGAATTACCCGCAAACGTATATCCAAAAGGAGACTTCAACAAAGTGAAATGCACATGTAATCAGTAATGAATCTATACATATAATCCATCATGGGAAAATACAGAAGTCCACAGGATCCATAGAAGGAAAAAACAAAGTCCAGAGTAGATATCCAACACTTTTCCTAGGTAGTATGCAGTGTTTCAGACTTCTGGTCCTTCCTCAGCAACAAAGAACATTAGGAAGTCTCATTCCAACTTCTTTACAGGACAATACTATTCAGTTTCTTTATGGGCCAGGTGGTCTCCTAAGCTTTAATGGGCCCCTCTCGAGGCTGCTTCTATGTAAACAGGACCAAACATGCCTCAGAGTATCCAGCCTACTAGGACTGCTTTATGAATCTACATTGAGTCAAAAGTGTAGATGTACTACGTAGGAAAAGTGTTGGATATCTACTCTGGACTTTGTTTTTTCCTTCTATGGATCCTGTGGACTTCTGTATTTTCCCATGATGGCTTATATGTATAGATTCATTTCTGATTACATGTGCATTTCACTTTGTTGAAGTCTCCTTTTGGATATACGTTTGCGGGTAATTCAGCTCACAGTTGGTTTTTTGTTGTTCCTTTGCTGTCCTCTGAAACAATCAGAAACTTTTCCCCAAGTCTCAGCTTTGGAAAAGCAGTTGTTGTTTTTTAATCACATCACTTTGATATCATTAACTCTGTCGGAAATTTTGCTCAGGATAACGTAGTCCCAAAGCTGAGCTTGCCACTGTTCGATCATAGTTTTTTTCTTATCTTTGCAATGTAATTCTGGCTATAGCTAACAATACTGATACTAATTTCACATTACTTTTATCCATTAAAAGGTTGCTTCCAAAAATCAAGCAGAAACAGTTCTGGTATTAAAGGTAAACCATAATTTGGTATTTGTTTAGTTTGTTGCACAATATCTTTCCAGTACAATTGTATTCATTCACAAGCCCACCAACAGTGGATAAAAACTGCCACAATTTTTGTAACAATTTGGACTGTAATTTCTGTTTATTTTATGTAACTGACTTGGCGTAAGATACCATCTTGTTTTGAATTTTATATCAAAAACAGCAGAGTGAGAGCTGGGAGAGTTCCAAAAGCAGATCTCAGCACTCAGAATCCTGCACATAGAATCATAGAACGTTACAGTTGGAAGGAATCTTGCAGGTCATCCTAGTCCAACCCCCTCACTCTGCAGGAGCATAGCTGAAAGATAGCCCTACATACCTACAACATACCCGAAATATGGTCGTCCATCCTCCGCTTGAAAACGTCCAGCGAAGGAGCATCCACCACCTCCCGATCAGTTAGGAAGTTTCTCCTGATATTTAGCCAGTATCGACTCCCTTGTAATTTCCACCCATTCGATCTCGTCTCACAATCCGGAGCAAGAGAGAACAGATCTGCTCCGTCTTCTACATGACAGCCCTTCAAATACTTGAAGACTGCAATCATGTCCCCTCTAAGCCTTCTCTTTCCCAGGCTAAACAGACCCAGCTCTTTCAGCCTTTCCTCATAAAACTTGGGTTCCAACCCTCTCACCATCCTGATTGCCCTCTTCTGGACACGCTCGAGCGTGTCAACATCCTTCCTCAAATGTGGTGCCCAAAACTGGACACAGGACTCCAGGTGGGG